GAGGGGGGGCCCATGGGCCTTGACAAAAAGAAGAAAATTGGGAAGTCTAGGCGGACGAGGCCCGGATTTCTGACCCAGAGGCCGTTTGTCTTTCAGACGCCCGTCCTCAGGAGGAAGGTGCCCTTTCAGAGGTGTCCTTCAGGAGCGTAGCTGACGTCAGTCTGTGCGCGCTCTCTTGCTTGGTGGAACCCACCACCATCCCCTTTCTCCCTCCTATCTGTCTTGTGTGTGCCTTGCTGGGGGGAGCAGACGGCTTCATCGCGAAGCTGCCCCCAGCAGGCGTCTTGACGGGTATCAAAATTCTTCCCTACGAAAGAGGCCAACGGACCCGAGAAGCGAGTATCTTAAATCACACAGAACGTTTCGGATGTTTCCGCGCGCGAGCGATGCGCAGCGGAGCGACTGACTCGACCTCGCGTCACCGGCAGCACACAGAGATCCGGACAGTGAGAGCTAACAGAGACGACACGGAGGGTACACAAAATCGAGGAGTGGCCGTCAGCCCGCGGGAGGGGGGGGGGGGCATCGTGCCAGGCGACTGGTACAGCTCATGCGCTCGGCCCGCACCCTGCCGATTCGCGCGTCGGGGCGCCTAGCGGTGCGAGAGGCACGGTCTGAATCGCAAGTCAAGAATCGCAAGTCAAGAATCGCAGGTCAGGGTAGTACCAAGTGGATACTGGACCGTGAGTGTTCCGGCGCATCGCGCGGGCACGAACGGGAGGGCGTGTAGCGGCTGGAGCTCGAGGGAGGGAGTGGATGGGTGTGTTCTCGGGGGCTGTCCCAGGGGCATCGGAGTGCACGGCCAAGGGAGTCAGCCAGGCCCGATCTGCGTCTCTTGTGTGTGGCGGGGCGCCTGTCTTTGCGTTCTCCCCTTGCAGCGTCGGGTTCTTGCACAGCTTCTTCTGGTCGAACATGCCGATGTACGCGTCGGTCCAGTCCGTGTCGGACAGGTCGGCGTTCTCGAAGGTCGTGCCCGACAGCACCGCGTTGCTGAAGACGGCGCCCTTTAGGAGCGGGGAGAGCGGCGGGGCGAGGAGGTGAGAGGAGAGGCGAGCTGGTGCGGCCGAAGTGGGGCGCAAGTGCGGCGCAGGTGCGGCGGCGGTGCGGCTCAGATGTGGCTCAGATGTGGCTCAGATGCGGCCGAGACACGGCCAGGCTGGAGCCCAGACGCGCCTTGAACGACGCGCCGTTAAAGTATGCTCGGTCGACGACGCCGTTCGAAAAGTCGGCGCCGTCGAACTTGGCGCCCGGCGCGTACGCCTTTGAGAGCTGTGACTCCTTGAAGTTTGTGCCCGAGAAGTCGCCCTTCTCCATCAGCGCGCCAGACAGGTCAAAGCCGCCCGCGTCGGTGCCGCTCATCTTGCACTCGCGCAGGTCGTACAGCTCGTCGCGGGCCGCGTTGGCCTGCCGGAGGGAGGGTGAGAGGCGGCGGCGGTCGGCGGCAGTCAGCCCAGGCTCGCAGCACCGGCGGCGTTCTAACGGCGGTGTGACGATGGCGAGGCAGTGGCGAGATTGGCGGCGGGTCGCACCTGTCCCATGGCAGAGGAGACGAACTTGCAGCGGTCCTTCTTACTCTTGTCGATGGGCGGGAACTTGAACTTCTCCGTGCTACCGTCGGCAACGGCCTACGGCGAAGCGCGGCGGGAGGGTGGCCGGCGGTGCGGCGGCAGCGAGAGAGCGGGCCGCCGCCCGCCTGCTGCATGGGCGCGACGGCCGAGGCCGCGAGCAGAGAGCTGAGCGCGAGCGCGGCAGCCCTCGAGGCGAACGGCGCGACGGCATCACGTATCGACGAGGATTGCAGCCGCATTCGACCAGCGAGAGCGAGCGGAGCTGTCGGAGAAGCGGCGTGCGCAAAAAGAATTTACTGCAGTAAACAAACTCAATCGGCGAGAGACTGCGAAGAGAGATAGGAAGAGGCAGACTCCCTAGGGTGGGCGACGGATAGCGCACCACACACCTCTCCTTAAAATCCCTGTGTGGTGGCGGCGTGCCGTCCTCCCCCCATCCCTCCCTTGGGTTGTCTGTTTTCTTTCTTTCTTTTTTCTCTCACAGCACACAGGCTCGACACAGGTGCGAACTGGCGCGTGCTAGTACTATCACCGGCACACCACCGGAGCCGCCTAAGCGACTCCGTTAAGAACGGCAATGCACTTAGCACCGTGCACAATGCCGCTGTCCCCGCACGCTAGCTCGTTCACCGTCTGCCACGCCACGGCGGTGTGGAGAACGACAGACAAGCGCTGCATCTGCAGCCCGTGCCAGTTCTTGGTGGTCCATGTGACCTCATCGAGGTGCTGAGCGTGCGAAAGTTTGTTACTCAGCTGGTCCGCCGCCTGCCGAAGAATTTTGCGGACGCCGTCCCCGAAGCCGCCGAACGTCTCGAAGTCGAGCAAACGCAGGTCGCAATTCTTCTCCCGCGCGAACCGGTAGTCGCCCTTTTGGTAGGGGGCCGTCACAGGTGCCGCCCCCGCTTCCGCTTCCCCCTCATTTTCCCCTTCTTCTTTTTCCGCCGCCGCCGCTTCCGCTTTTGCATCTTCGGCTTCCTTCCCCCCCCCCCCCCCCTCCGGCCGCGGCCATGCAGCATGCCCTAACACTAAGTCGAGCAGCGCCCGCTCGGTGTTGCCGAAGGCGACAAAAGCCCCCTTCCAGCCGAGCCGATCGCCACCCTTGCACGCAAGCGAGCTCGTGAGTTTCAAGTCGCCAACGAGGCGCACATGCCCTTTGCCGATGTTCGCCGCCGCCACGTCAGGTTGTTTTGGGTTACTGTAACTGAGGTGTGCAGTCGGCTCCATCTCGATGAGCATGCCCCACGCCGAGCGAAGGGTCTTGACGAGTCGTTTGAGCAGGTATTTGTGTCGTGTCGCGTGCTTCGCACGCGGGTTGACCATTGCGGCATCGCCGAGTTCTTCGTGCGGCTTGCCGTTTGGCGCCTTCTTGCCCGCCTCCACCGCCTGGCAGGCAACATCGAGCGGGAGGCCGAGGCGGCGCTGAACTGTAATGCGCATCGCCCACGTCTCCATCTTCATATCATCCCGCATGGGGATCGCATTCAGGAAGGCGCCAGCCCCCTCCTGGCTGACTGCGACGAACCGAATCGCCTCGCGCCAGCACTTGTGGTTCTTGCACCTGCCAGTCTTGTAGCGGCCGCCCCGCCGGGATGCCTCGCTGACGAAGGCTTCGGCGAGGGCGAGCCAGTTGCGATGGTGTACGCCGACGGTGTACCGCCGCTGCGCCTGCTGTAAGAACTCGCTGGTAGACGAGAACTCCGGAAGAGGCAGCAGCTCCGCCGCCGGCGTAAGCTTGGGCGGGTGGTAGCGGCGCCGTCGCACCGCCTTGGTCTCCTGGAAGGGCCCGACGACGTCTTGGTATAGCGTGCGCCCGTCCCACTCGCGCCACGTCTTGCCGACCTCGTCGCGAAGGGCGCGGAGGCGTTTGTGAGCCTCCCGAAGCTCGTCGAAGCGCTCTCCCGGCGCGAGGGCCACGTCGAGGTCGCGGAATGGCTCGTGCAGCTCGCGTATCGGCCGCGTGACGAGGGCCCACGTGCGACCCACGCCGCCTCACGGATGTCCATGGCGCTGGTCAGGCCCATACCGCCCATCCTGACCGGAAGTCGGGCCTGCTGAACAGCGACCCGCCACCGTGGGCTGTTGCGTCCGACCCGCGCGCCACCCACGAGGGTGTAGAGCGCCTCCTCCATCAGGCGGTCGTGCTCGCGCGCGGCGTCCTGGGTCACCGACGGCGGCATAGTGCGAAGGAAGAAGGTGAGCGTGGTGTTGCTGCAGAAGCGGAGGAGCACCTGGGCGAGCTGCTGCGCGGTGTGGATCGTTTTGGTGTCGCGCAGCGCCTTGATGCCCGAGAGCGGCTCCAGCGCCTTGCGGATGGGCTTGGGACGCGGACCCGGAGTTCGACGAGGCAGCGGGCGAGCAATGGCTGTTCCTGCTGCCAAAGAAGTGGAACCCAAAGACGCACAAGCAGGTGTACAGCTGGCGATATGACCCTCGCGAGCTCGGCGCCGTGGAGGCGCCCACGGCCGACCCTCGGCGCCGCCAGTGCCGCCGGGACACGGAGCAGTGAGAATTTTGAGTGTGTTTGTCGGGACGCTGTGTCAGTACTAGACCATGTGAGACTCTTAGTGATATACCATTGTGATCCCCAGCACCTGTACTCCCAGCGCCAGTGTTCGTTTGTGCCCGAGGCGACTTTCTGAAAATCACCATATCCCCCCCTACTCCTTAAAATCCCTGTGTGGTGGCGGCGTGCCGTCCTCCCATCCCTCCTTATGCGGTCCGTTTGTTGTGCGAGGCAGCGGAGGTAAACTTGGAGCACTTGGAGTGCAGTTAGCAACCGCACATCCAGGGCCGGGGAGCTAAGAAGCGCACCCAGCGGGCCGGATGATTGGCATCGGGTTGCGGGCAAGAAAGCCCTAGCCCTGGGGGTGCGCGTTCGCAGGGCAAGGGCCTTAAAGTAAACCCGATGAACACACCAGTGAGGGAGGGCGAGACGATCGAGGGGTCCCGTACCATGCGGAATCGACCCTATCCAGTGCTCAAGTGCTCAACACGGGTCCCCGAGGGTTGGCTCTGCGCTCCGAGTTTCCCCTAGCAGCGGAACGCCCCCTCTACTCGGGGCTAGTAGACACCAGACACTAGCACGACAACACACACATTCCTCACTGACATCACCACTCGCAGGGGGTCTGAATTCTTCTTTTTTACGCTCCTGCATGACCTTCGCGTTGCTCGTCTCGCGCGTGGTGGACCTCGAGCAGCAGGGTCGGGACCCGGTGCAGCTGCGGCAGGCGCTCGAGGCGCTCCTCGACCGCTACCCGCTCTGCTTTGGCTACTGGAAGCGGCGCGCGGAGCTTGAGCTGGCGGCGGCGGACGAGCCGGCGGCGGTGGCAGTGTACGAGCGTGCGGTGGTGCCGTGCGCCTACTCGGTCGAGATGTGGACGCTCTACTGCGCGCACGCGGCCCGCCACTGGGCCGACGAGCCGGAGCGCGTGCGCGGCCTCTTTGAGCGCGCGCTGCAGTACGTCGGCTCGGACTACGCCGCGGATGGGATCTGGGACAAGTACA